TCAAAGGAGAAAAGAGGGTCCCAGGAGGATGAGGCCATAATAGGCAGGGAGCACGGGGAGCAGGAAGCAGTGGGTGCTAGAGCAGGTACCCATGAAAAGCCCAGTGGGTCCAGTGGTGACACTGAAGGGAGCCAACAGCAGGCTCTGGGCAGTGTTTCTGGAAAGAATAATGGAATTAAGAGTCCTGTGTGAGGGGAAAAAAATGAGGCCAGATTTCAGCTTTGAAGGAACTGAGTTCTTGCCAAGTTTTCTAGGCCAATATCCTAGCAAAGGTAGAGATGCTTGGCGGGAACATGAACACCCCAGAACACCCTAGAAGCAAGGTCCTAGAAGGAGGTCATGCAATGAAACAGGACTGGATGACTTCCAACTGATCTCCAGAACTGGGTAGGGCTGTAGTCTTGCTGTGACTGAAGCTGGGATGAATCCTGCAGTCAGAGGCAGGACAGAATGCACCCTACCCAAGAAAGAAGGCTTTTGGATAACAGAGAACCATTAGAAGTTAACGGGGGAAATCAGATCTACAAGGTGACCAAGCTGAACTCAGCAGTCAGGCTGGGTGTCTATAAATTACCCCTCTGGATAACGTGCACATGTTTTAAAGATGTTTATTCCTGTAGCAAAGTAGATTTATTGTCTAGATGACTAATTCTAATAACTTCCTTAGAACAGAAGCACATGAGAGGGCAGGAGGTAAGCACCTCTGTCCCGAGCTCCAAGCAGAAAGGTGTGGCAACCCACAGTGACACTGACCAGAAGTGAATGGCTTCACCCCTGCTTCTCCCACCTGTGCATTCTGTCTCTTAACCCACAGAACACTCCATTCTCCTGCTTGGTGCTTCCTGGACGTGTCCACCCTTGGCTGCTTCCTGGGAGACACTTAATTCTGAACAAATTGCGATGAGCCTGAGATCTGGCAGTCCTGTTTCCTGCTCTATTTGAGCATGATTTTCTACACTCTTCTGAACTCAACAATATTTTTTGCATCAATGGTTCCTTTGCATCAGTAGTATGTCAGTCCTCATGTTGGTAATCAGGAACCCTAACAGACATAGAAATTGATGTCTTAAGTGGCAGCAGGAAATGGGCCCTCAGAAAAAGAGGAGTTGTTGGGATCTGTCATCTGCCTCGGTAGAGCTGAAGGCAGGGGAAATCCAGCCTGGAAATCCAGCAGCCTGTGGCTCCAGGACGCAGCAGTTCCTGAAGTTGTCACAGCATCCCTTGTGGGAGAGCTCACTGCAGGCAGGCTGATGAGTCTCTGTCACGCATGTGCTCGGTGCCTGCACCAGGTCAGTGCTGCTGTGGATGGTCACGTGTGACTGAGTCCCAGTGCCTCTGCTTCCCTGCCGCTGGGCTTGCTCCAAAACCACAGCAAACACGCGGCCTGTGATCCATGCAATCAGCCCCCACTGAGGGGAAGTGACCTTGCCAGAAGGGGATGGGAGCCGGTGGAAACTGTCCCCATTCTTTTCCTTCTGAGGACAATTCTGAGGTACCTTCTGCAGGCCACCCTGTTTGCTCACTTCCCACTTTCCTGTCGCACTCCCTCTGCTCTCTCACCTACTTCTCCATGACAGAAACCCCAACAGGCTGAGGGGGAGCCTGGATCTTGCTCTGGAGAGTCCGAGCTAAGCAAGGATGGAGAAGTGGAATCAGTGGGCTTGGGGGCGCAGCAGATTGCTTCTGCCAACAAACTTAGGAGTGAACGGGAAACCGGTGCTCTCTTCGGGGGCACATATACTACCACTGAATGGAAAACCCAAATTCATGGATTTCAGCTCCGGGTGTGGAGCTGGAGGTGGACCTCAGATCCACAGAGGGTTAGAGGAGAAAACACAAAAGTATTGTGTGATACTATTAATTCAAGTCACCAAAAATCTAAGCAGTGCACACAGAAATGAATTGTGAAAGAATAAAACTGACAAGAGAACTATGGCCTATTAGAATGCCCAAATCTGAATATAAGGTCATTTGTTAGAGGATCTTGTTTCTATACTAAATGTCCTGGTCTAAGTCAGATTAGGAGTGGTCCTAATTTGAGGTTTGATTTCACATTGGTTCCCACTGAACGGAGTTGAGAAGCCAGAAATCCCTTGGGCAGAAGGAACAGATGCATAGAACTGGGGACATGGAAATGGATTTATGTGAGACCCATCTGTGCATTCTGAGAAGACTCGGACGTTCATTTTCCCCGTATTTACCAGGCCGTCCAGTAGAACGTGTTCTGTTGCCCTGGAATTATGATTAGGTCAGAGCTTAAAACAGAAAATGCTACGTTTAGAGTCATCACCCCACCTCTGTGAAGGACACAGGCGCACCAGCTATGACACCCCCACATACAATGCGTGGCGCATGCCTAAGAGACAGGGGTTAGCTTGGGAGTGCAGCTTAGGTGATGAGAGACTAACTCCTCCCCTGACACCCTCACTGAGGACAGGAGAAAGGACACTTCAGGAGAATCACCAGGAAGATGGAAGCCAGGAAGACTGACATTTTGTGTCCTCGGAGATGGCTCCCTAGGTGATCTGGTTAAAAGGGGACAATGGAAGAGGGTGTGTGTGCTGGGAATAACACAGTCTGGACTCCCATGGATGAAAACCTGAGAATTTACCAACAGGGCGGTGGATGCAGCAGAAGGTGCTGGTCTTTGGCTGTTTTGCCACTGGCTCTTCATGAGCCAGCTACCTGTCCACGTGGGGTCCCAGCTGGGACAGGGTGGGTGACATTCTGTGGGGGCTGATGGCAGAGGGAAGATAGGCTGAGTTGAGGCTCTGGGGCCCAGGGTCCACTACAGAGCTCGCAGTGGGACAGAGGTTTGGGGTTTTGTGTCTGACTCACAGAGGGCTCAGTGATGTGCCAGGCAGGCAGCAGTAACTGCCAGAGGGAGCCTGCACCCTCCTGATGGAAGAAGGGAGACCTTTGGGCTTTTCCTTCTTGCTGCTTCTTAACTTCTAACTGCCAGAACCCCAAGACTGGGGAAGGGGAAGGGGAAGCCTGATCTGGGTTGTGCTGCAGGGGCTGCAGTCACAGCACAAGGCTGCACGGGGAACCTGCTGCAGCCCTCTGAGAGGGCTCCTTGGCCATGTACCAGGGTGACTATGCACTGCCCAGCTGGACTACCCAGCCAGCCGAGGCCCCAGTGTGGCACTTGTTCCTGGAGACCCACAGTACTTTCCCCACACTCCACGTCTCTTGTGGACCTGATGATAAATAAAACAGTCCCTGTCTCACAGCTGACCCACTGGGGCACATGACCCATCCCATGTATCACCTGCGCTGGGGAACTAGGAAAATCCCCACACTGGCTTCTGATCCATGGGCCATTTCCACAGGAAGACCAAGGGCCAGCCTCCGGAGCGCTCTCCCAGCCACGGGGAATTACAGAGAAGTTTGCAGCTTCCGGCTTTAAGAGGGGCCAGAGCCAGCAGAGAGCAATGAGAAGTAATTCTGTGGCCGCTCAGGTCCCCTATGCAGAGGGCCCTACCAGGGGGCACCAATGGGAGACCTTCAGTGGGGCCCCTGGGACTCAGAGACAAAAATGTCCTTTGTTCTGTGACTGTTCAGGTCAGAGCTAGCTTGCAACTTTCTACTGGATGTCAGAAACTGGACTTGAGAACACAGGGTACCTGCTGGCCCTGAAACCCATTAGTCACCCAAGCTGGCAAGCCCAGCTTGACCCCATCACTGGATGGCAGATGCAGGACATGTAGGACGGGACCAAGCAGGTCTTGAAGGCACCAGCAAGTTGCGGGGCTCACTCTCTCACCTGCTCCTGCCACGCTGCTACCACATGACCACCGCACTGTCCCCTTGGCGTGCACCCGTGACCTCATGGACAGCAGACCTGTGACTGTGGAGGAAAGACAGGAACCTGATTGACAGGTGCTCTGTGGCGCTGTTAGAACTGCTCTCAGGGCTGGCCTCCAAGGACGGCGGGGAAGGCACATCTTCCTGGGGACACTTCCAGTAATATATTGTGACCTCTCTCCCAGGAGAAGAGATGGCCTGAGGTGAAGTCTCAAGTGACTCATGAGCAGTAACTAATGATTTAGCCAGATGGCCAGAGGGGACAAGAGAGGAGACTTATGGACCAGGTTTGGGAGAAGGGACTGTGGGTGGACCCGCATCCCCAAACCCCAGCACCCTTTAGTGTCCTCCCACCTCCCTCTGCCCCCTGAACCACCTTGCTAACTGGCCAGTCTAATCGTGTCCCTTCCCTGCAGGGATCTTAATAACTCCTGGTTGCTTACAAGACAAAATGCAAGCCTTTTTCATGGCCTGTCCCTTGCCTGTCACCTCTCAGCCACTTCCTTCTCTGACACTCCAGGCCGATTCCTGAAAGGGAGCCTTTCTTTCTCAAGCTTCTGTGCCTCTGTGTGCATGTTCCTGCTGCCTGGCACTCTGGCTTGGTCACTTTCTAGGTCTCAACCCATAGGCCACCTCCTCTGAGAAGACTGCCCAGATGTCCCCAGTCAGATGCAGGGTGTGACTGCAGTAGAAGCCAGGAGCAGACTGCTTGACCTTCAATCCTGGTTTGGTCACTTACTAGCTGTGTGACCTTTGTATTACTTAGACTTTCTGTGGCCTAAATACCTTTGCTGTGAAATAGGCAAGGTTAATGTAGGGGTGAGCTGATAAGTAATAGCAAAATGACAGTCAGGTATATAAATAACACAACAGAAATATTTTCTCTCTTTTTGTAGGGAATGAGATCACACCAAGTCCCCCAGACTACCCTTGAACTCACAATTCTTTTGCCTCAGCCCCATGAATAGCTGGGCTTACAAGTGTGCACCATTGAACCAAGCTAGAAATATCTAAATAAACTACACATGAGCAGAAATGCACAGCAGGAGAGGGCCCAGCACACAATGATGGCTCGTTGCATGGTCATTACTGCTATCAGGGACTCTTTTCTCCACTCTGCTGAGAGATGCTGTGCACGACCCCCGGCAGACAGGCCAGCGGTGCTGACCCTCTTTGCTGTCTTTGGTCCTCAGCAGGTCCCTGGCACACAGCAGGCTCTTAGTGGACCCCTGTGAGATGAGCGAGTGATGTCTGGAATCAGATTTGGAGACTCAGCCCTCATCCATCCTTACTAAAAATCACGGTGAGTCCCGTGAGGATTGAAAACCCCTGCTTCCTCATCACAGAATGAACCCAAGAACACAAATACTCAGTTGTGCCTCGTGAAAGTGCCATTTTTAGATGCCAAAACGGATTGAATATCAGCAATTTCATGCAATTCAACATAATTCTTCCATGCCAGATCCGAGGGAGGGGCAGATGCGGCTGTGGGCATGAGAGTGAAGAAGAAGCCGGGCTGCACGACTTCAGCATTGATTATTATAAGGTACGTGTGGCCGGCTTGAGTTGGGAGATTGGAGTATGAGTGTCCTTTGATTTAGCTTTGCTTATGTCATACACAGCAAACTAGAGTACTCAATTTAAATTTTAAATCCATGGCAGGGTCATGGGTTTGGGGTCCCCCGGAGCGCCATGGATGGGAAGCTGCTTCTCCATTGCTTGTCCACAGTTAGCGTTGTCTCCTGGGGCCCCGGGGGATTTCTCTAGCACTCAGATTCCTCTACGAGAACACGTGGCCTTGTTCCCACTCACGATGCCTCCCCCGAGCACCAAGGTGACAGCCTGCCTGCAATCCCTGATGCAGCAGGAGCTCAGCACCAGCAAATGTCAGCACATGCCCGACCTGGGCATGGACAGACTGCTGTCCCAGGGTGCTGAGGATAGAGATATGTCTGCAGCCCAGCCTTCTCCCAGCAAGCGAGCTCAGAGAAGTGACTGAACTGGACATGGCCTGAGATCACCACAAGCTGCCCCTTGGCCGGGGTCCCCACATGTCTCTCTTAGAGCTTCTGTGACGGCTTCGCTTTCCTCTCAGATGAGGCTTCCCATCACCTGGCCTTGGTGTGAGTTGAAGTCATAGGATTGTGCCCCCAGCTAGAAGGGACCTAGCTACTGATAGCTAGGGAAACTGCGACCAGCCAAAGTTAGGAGGCCTGATCAGAAACCGGGGACCTAGACTTGTGCTCTGGATGCCACATGATGTGTTTCAAACAGACAAGTATAAAAATATGGATGCAAGACATGGGGAATCCTGGGTTCACTGACATTGTCCCTCATCAATCATATAACTTGTCTGAGCTTCAGTGTCTTTGTCTCCAGCAACCTCTAGTGTCACAGAGACCCAAATGACATGTAAATGCCCACTTACATGGAGCACTCATTAAGTGTGGATATCAGCCAGGTACAGTGGCACATGTCTGTAATCCCGGCTACTGCAGAGGCTGAGGCAGGATGGTTGCAAATCCGAGGCCAGCCTGGGCAATTTAGGCTGGGGACATAGTTCAGAGGTACAGCATCCCGGAGTTCAATTCCCAGGACTGAAAAAAAGGAAGTTCCATTTCATTATAGAAGAAAACAATTTTTGGCAGCCTGGTCAGAGAGAAGGGAAAGGGGGTTACTGTATCCCAACATGTGTGATGTGATAGTTCATTCTATTTTATGTGACACTGGCGTTACCCCAGATTCAATTACACCCAGAGAACATTTCCTGACCACTGATTATGTACCACGCTGGGTTAAGGGCTGTTTGTGTGTGTGCGCGCGCGCACACGCACACGTGCGTGCGTGTAGACGCTAAGATGCAGTCCCTCGCTGGAAGGCAGTCATCCAGCTTGGGTGACAGCCAGCCGGACAACCGTCTGTGAGGCTTTGCATGAGAGGTGTGCAAACAGCAGGGCGTGCAAGGATTTTCAGACTTGGGAGCAGTGTAGCAGGCGCCCGGGGGCATGAAAATCAGTCTGGAGATGGCACCAGCAGGCACACACCTGGAAGCTGACAACAGAAAACTCAGACTAGCAGCGGCTCAAGTCGGCTCCAGGCTTCTCTCTCTCCCACACGGAAAGGAAGAGCGGCGCCGGGCAGCCCCGCTGTGGTGCAGTAGCAGCTCGGCCATCGGACAAAGCGGGGCGGGGTACTGCTGAGAACTTGGACTCCAGATTCACACTGCTTGGGCTTAAATTTTTCCCCCGGCCATGAGACAGTAAGGGACTTCCTTTCTCCTCTACTTCCTCATTTATAAAATAACAATAATGAAAGTAACTGTGCAAATCACAGTGAAGATTAAACAGCTTGAGATAGGAAATGTTTTGAAAACAAACCTGGTATACATTGCACCATATATATCTTAATGTATATGCATCTATATTGTAAAATATATATTTTATTTTTTACTCCACCACTTTTAGCATATGACTTCTGTTCTGGAGGTCACTTCATGGTCCAGAATAGCTGCTGGAGCACCAGCCCTTAACATCCCAACCCTAGGTCACAGAAGTAAAAAAAGAGACAAGATGAAGGCTCCTTTCTTTAGCCAAGTCAGCTTCCTTTGAACAGTTTTCAAAATTCCCACATTTCACTTGTTTCTGGTCACTACTTGAGCTTAGGCACAGGGCCTCATGCTGCAAGGAGGCTTGGAATGATGGTCTTTCTCTGGATTCTTTGGTGAGAAAGAAGGCAAGTGAGTTTTTCACTGGCAACACGCAGTGGCTGCCACAGGGATTAGCAGATAAACTTGGTCAGGCTCCAATCCAGGGCTTCTTGCTGGGTCCTAGGAGAGGAGGCTCAGGTCAGATGCCAGGGAGCCAGGCTTGGGCCCATTTCCAGGGGCAACACCAGAACACAAGCGGCTTTTGGAACAAGGGAGGGTTGGGTCCCTGGAGTGTCATGAGCAGGGGCAGGAAGGCAAAGGGGACTGGGTTCTATGTCTGAGGCCCTGTGTGAGGATGTGCAGTTCCTGCTGGAGGAGGGCAGTGGTAAGATACCCCTTGTCACCCCTGGGTGTCACCCAAGGCACCCCTTGTCACCATCAGGCCAAGTCAACCTTTTTATAGCAAAGAGAAATTTCACTCGACCACCACTCTCCTGTAGACATGCAATTTATCACTTTCAGACACAGAAGGTGCCCCCCTCCCTAATGAGGACAGCATCCAGGGAAAGACACTGCCCAGGGGACAGGGGCACTGTGCCACATTGGTGTGGAGCCCTGGCTCACTGCCTGCTGTTACTCAGTGGCCCTCTACAATGCAGGGTCAGGCTGGCTGAGTGTTGGAGACCCTCGGAAACCAGGTCTGCTGTGGCTGCTCTGCTGACATACTCTGGGTCCTGCGAGATGGGGACAGTTACTTGCTGGGGCCATGAGCGGCCTCTCTACTGATCAGCTGTAGATGGAGACATTCAGACAGCTTTTGAGAAGCTGAGGTTTATTTTTTTACAGGATGTGGTGGTGGATGCCTTTCATCCCAGCACTCTGGGAGGCTGAGGCAGTAAGATCATTAATTCAAACCCAGCCTGGGCAATTTAGCCAAAACTTGTCTCAAAAATTTTAAAAAGTCCAGGAATGTAGGTCAGTGCAAAGGCACTGGATTCAATCTCCACTACTCAAAAAAAAAAAAAAAAAAAAAAGGGCACCAATATTTTTGTCTTCAGAACACTGCTCCTGGCCCATCAACCCTGCCTTCTGGGCCAGCAGAGGACCTGGTTTCAGTCACTTCAGCAAGACAGCAAATTCCTCCTCTACTGCTGTACATCCATTCAGCTCTGCACTAAGTGGCTTAGCGCAGTAATAAAAACACACCCAATGGGAACCAAGATAACAAACCCCATTTGTGCAGGTGGGGAAGATAGGAGAAAGGAGGCTGGCCGTGCTGGTCCTGGCCTCCTGGAGAATGGCAGTGCCTGGTGCCTGGCAGCCGTCCCCTTCAGGCTCCACCGAGGCTGGGGGAGCCACTTACCCAAATTAGGGCCAAGAAGGGGCTGGTGGTGGCAGCTGCTCTACTGTGGGCCTGTTTTGGGGATGCTACAGTGACCTCAAGACACAGCTGCTGGCTTCCACAGCACCAGAGATGCCGGAGATGCCGGAGAAAGAGCCAGGAGAGACTGAGGCTCATGGACAGGAAGCAGTGATATCCAAACCGACTGGTCCTCATTTCCAGGATACCGGAAACTGAAGCCAGAAATACAATTCTGCACCCACAGTCAGTGCTGGGGTACTGGGGTCATGAAGCAGGGTCAGCTAGGTCTCCAGTTCTGGCCAACAGCAGTGAAGGCCAACAGCAATGGTGGGTTGTCTCCTACTCAACCCCCTAAAAGACACCACCTGTGTGTTCCCCAGCCCTTCACCCTGTGCCTGCCGCCCTCTAGTGGTGGCGTCGGACCTCAGCCTGCACACCCGGGAAAGCAGGCTTAACCAGGACCCTGGGCAAACACTGCCAGCCTTCTGCATGGGAAGGAAACGAATCTCATAAATGCTTCCGAGGAGTTTAAGGAGTCCCCCTCCCTCTCTCAAGGTTATTTGTAGTCTGAAAGATGATCCAGAATAGGGGCAATCAAAAGCCTTCAAGAAGGACTCCTCTCTGCCAGGGCAGGAGTCCTGCATGGTGCCCCAATCCCACCACTGAGCCAGCAGCCACCGATGTACAATGGTGCCTCCATCTACTTACCAATAGCCAACTGTGCGTGGTCCAAACACTTTAATGCCAACTTCAGTCTTTTGTAATTACAAGCTTTTATTTATTTATTTATTTTTAATTTTTATTTAAGGAGAAAAGAAAAGAAAGAAAGAAAACAGTGAAGGGGTACAAGTTATACAGATTTACAGAATAAAAAAATGCGCAGTAGGAAATCACTAGTTAATGGATTACATATTGCCATCTTAGAAATAATTGTTCAAGTCACAAAATTAAAGCTTGTAGAGTGGACATTCCACCAATGATACTGCAAACAGTTCTGTTCAATGATCCAACAAAACTCTGTGATATCATTTTCTATCTTATACTTTTAAATATACATGCAGTTATATAGTTTAGAGCACTTTCTTTTCCTCTCTTTTGTACAGTGACTATTACACATTTTGGGTTTCATTGCTCCCACGGTTCTTGTTGCTTTTTTGGAAGAGAGTAAAACCAAATGTGACATAACAGAACAGAATCGGTCAAGTCAAAAGGGTGGACATAATAGATAATATAAAAACATAATACAAGGTGATCAACCATGGTTACCCTAATGCCTCCCGCTATTTCTAATAGAATTGCCTATATCATTAGTTGTAATACAATTGAACAAAACCGTAAAGAATAAAACCGACAAAACCAAAACATTGGAGACATTGTAGGTCTTCAAAAGTAGATAAAAGTCAACGAGAATGGGCGTTATAATGAATCTCATTATCTTCTCAGCTGATGCCTAAACTTTCGAACCTGATACTATCCAGCAAAACAGAATATAGGAACCTCAGTCAAAAACAAGATGGTGAGAGTAATACAGGGCTTC